GAACCCTGATGGGCATGTGCTCCGCTATCCACAAGGGAGAGTCAAAGGGTGGTTTTGTGATTGAATGGATAGAGAGTAGACATGGGGTCCATTGATCCTGGGAGAAAATGTAAAATCATACTGAAACCAGGACAGGCTTAGAATTGAAAATTATATTATTTGGGTAAGCTGGAATTCTGACTATAGGTTTTTTAACTTTCCCACACAGTCTAGGAATGTTTTCAAACCTCAACCACTTCCTGTTCCTATTCAGATAGGTATTTGGAGAATTGTGTGTGAATTTTGGGAGGAGATGGGGTTATGTAAGTAAGAACTAGAAATGACTATTTTCCTGAGAGAGTTTAATAAAAATGCATATGGGCAATGTTCCTTCAGAATCATGATTACAAAATGTGCCATAGGGTTGGCAAGAGACTGATGCTCCTCTATTAGCTCAGAACCCACCATCACTCTGACAATTTAAACAATGGCAACACTTAGAACGACAGGTGATAGCACTGTGGGCATAGATTCTGGGGATCAGTGAAGGGGTACTTTGAGGGCAGAGAAATACTTTATCTCAACAGTCTGAAGGGCAGCAGACATTAGCCAGCAAGAGGAGAGCAAGGGAAGACAGTTGTGCAGGATGCTACAAGATGACTTGAGTCACTGGGTGACTTTAAGAAATAGCTAGGAAACTCTATAGATCTAGCTTGTAGGGCTTCAGTCATTTCCATCTGCATGTTCAAAGTTAAACAACTAACATAAAATGAAAATTCACAGAAATAAAAAACCTAAACATAAGAAAAGAAGCCATCAAAATTCTAGAGGAGAAAGCCTGCAAAAACCTCTTTGACCTTGGCCACAGCAACTTCTTACCCAACACATTTCCAGACACAAGGGAAACAAAACCAAAAATTAACTATTGGGACTTCATCAAAACAAAAAGCTTCTGCACAGTGAAGGAAACAATCAGCAAAACTAAAAGGCAACTGATGGAATGGGAAAAGATATTTGCAAATGACATATCAGAAATATCAGATAAACGGTTAATATTCAACATCTATAAAGAACTTATCAAACTCAATACCCAAAAAATAAACAATCCAGTGAAGAAATGGGCAAAAGACATGAATAGATACTCTTCCAAAGAAGATACCCAGATGGCTAACAGACACATGAAATAATGCTTAACATCACTAATCATCAGGGAAATACAAATCAAAACCACAATGAGATACCACATCACAGCAGTCAGAAAGGCTAAAATTAACAACTCCGGTAACAACAGGCATTGGTGAGGATGTGGAGAAAGGCAAACTCTTTTGCACTGCTGGTGGAATGCAAACTGGTGCAGCTACTCTGGAAAACAGTATGGAGGTTCCTCAAAAAACTAAAAATAGAACTACTCTATGACCCAGCAATTGCACCACTAGGTATTTATCCAGAGGATACAGTTATGCTGTTTTGCAGGGACACATGCACCCCAATGTTTATAGCAGTGCTATCGACAATAGCCAAAGTATAAAAAGAGCCCAGATGTCCATCAAAAGTTGAATGGATAAAGGAGATATGGTACACACACACACACACACACACACTGGAGTATTACTAAGCAGACAAAAAGAATGAAATCTGCCATTTGCAACAATGTGGATGGAACTAAAGGCTGTTATACTAAGTGAAATTAGCCAGTCAGAGTAAGACAAATATCATATGACTTCACTCATATGATGGAATTTAAGCTACAAAACAGATGAACATAGGAGAAGGGAAACAAACATAATATAAAAACAGGAGGGAAACAAAACATAAGAGACTTTTAAATATAGAGATCAAACTGAGGGTTTCTGAAGAGGTTGTGGGTGGAGGGATGTCTAAATGGGCAACGGGCATTGAGGAAGACACTTGTTGGGATGAGCACTGGGTATTATATGTAGGGGATGAATCACCAGATTCTACTCCTGAAATCATTATTGCACTATCTGCTAACTAACTTGGATGTAATTAAAAAAGAAAAAAAAGAAATTTCACAGGAAAAAAATACAGATGACTAACAAGCATTTCAAAGCTACTCAACTTCACTGAACAAATATAAATTAAAGCACCAAGATAAAATTTTTGTCCAATTAGTTCAACAAAATTCAATAAAATGTCATCCTATAGAGATAGGAACACTCCTAGATATGACTCGTTCATACCGTCAAGGAATTTCACCTGATGCTTAATGAAGGGAAGCATTAATGCTTAATCAGAAGCATTTCACCAGAAGCATTTATTACAGCATTGATTATCACAGCAAAAAGAAAACAAATGGCCCAACATAAATGTCCACCAATAGACTAATGAAGAAATAAACCTTAAGAGTCATTACAATGGAACGTAATGCAAGAATTCAGTTCAGTAGTTGAGTTTAAAAGACGGAAGTTCATGAGATGATAATGAGAAATATGAAAGCTGAACAAATTATATGGACACATCCCATTAAAAGAAAATACCTACATAGGCTGAAGCAAGTAAGTGAGCCACAGTTTCATAGAGGCTGGCTGATGATATGAGACTTCTGGGTCAGAGACTAGGGACATTTTATTACTCACATTAATAGCACAGCTAGAGTATGAGTATTTGCACCAATTCCTCCAGCCACAATTTCCAGAGACCTGAGAAGCAGGTCAGGTGACATGGTCACATACAATGTGTTGTGCTGGAGGAGAGGAACCCTGAACTTAGAACACCTAAACCTTTTATCCCTGGCAGTAAAAGCCTGCCTGGTCATATCTTTACCATAAGGAAGGAGACATTACCTTTATTTTGCTGCCTAGTAGAAAACCAAAAATACACCCACTTTTTGCTCAGGAGAGTAAATATCTTCCAAGGCTGTTCATTATAAAAATTTAAGATATAGTCCTAAATAAAGGCAGTCAGTGCTTCTTCCTGTAAGACTTGCAGTAACATGAAAGCCTCACAGAAAATTCCATGAATTCTCAATATTCTATTTCATTCTCATTTTGTGTAAACAAAAAATTGTAGCTGTCAATTAAAATGATATATTATTTTATCAAAATTTATAACTATTAATATGTTGATACCTTGCTTATCAAATATCATAAAAAGATATATTTCTATACATACAAGGATATGCTTTGATTGCGGATGATTGTGTTGCTCATTCTCTGCACATTCTGTATAGTAGAAAATGGCAACTAATGACAATTTTATGTAATAAATATGTTTTAGTCACTTGGAAAAATAGCATCCAGACATTACTGGCATTACTCAGGGCAAAATTAGGAAAGTAATTTTTAAAAAGTTATTTAGCTTTACTGCTAACCATCACATGCACATCTTTTCTCACATATTTTCCACTGAAAAATGGCTCTTAAAAAACAGTTACATATCATCTCAACAACAGTCTTTTATTCTGGGAATAATACACATTACCTGTCTAGAAGAGTGTAATTAAATAATATATTTTTGAGCTAAACCTTCCACTTCTTCATTTTTCTATTGAAGGAACTGAAGCCCAGACACATTAAGTGACTTGACAGTGGCCAACAACTAGTTAATGTCAGAGCCGAGACCAAACCCCACATGCCCTGACTTGGAGCATAGGCTCTTTCTTCTTATCCAAAGCCACATACATGATACGCTAGAGCTTTCAAACCGGGGTATGCATACCCCTGCAGGCAATGGCAGTATGCCAGGGAGGTAAAGCCACAGGATAAACACAGGGTGTCTTGCCTCAATGTAAATATTACTCAAAGATTTGAGGGAAGTTAGGGGGAACCACTTTATTTTTATATTAAAACAAGATTGATTGTAAAGCAGAATGTACATTTTACATGGATTTTTAAAATTTCAAGCTGAATTCCTCAGGCCTAGAATCCCATCTTGTGGAGGTAAAAAAAAATCTCTCTGCTCACTCTGCTAAGGATACTTCTTTGTTATAAATGTGATACCACCAACGTGAGGATTTCTATGAAGTTCCTTTATCGAAAAAGTAAAGGTTAGTGCTTCACTAACCTTCATCTTTGACACTCCATAATTAAATCTGTATTATTTTAGTCCTTGTGGTCAGTTAAATGGTGAATTTCTCTCAAAGAGAGGACACATTAAGACCTTATAATAAATGAGTTTTTGAAAATGAGTTACTAAAACAGCTGTTTTTTTTTTAATTTTTTTTCTTCTTAATCAAAATTAAGTAAAAAGAATTTTAAAATAAAGGATAAAAATTTTACACGTCACCTTAGTAGAAATTAACTGGTTAGTAGTTTACTTTTACATAAGAGGCTCCATAAAGGTATTTTGCATATGATTCTAATACTCATTATACAACTCATGTTGTATAATGTACAAAATTGAGTGAATAGTATGTACTTCCATTTTTTCATATAGCATCTACATGAATGATAAACCTGAAATTCTCTAACTCATATTGATAGCAAAAAGGGGCCAATAAATTATTTTATGCATTTTGTGCATTTTCTCGGTGCATTTTCTCTCAACTGATTTTTACTTCTAAGATAAAAACCACCTCAACAACCGTTCTCAGATAATTACTCCTTCTGTGATAACTCAGCAGACTTTTACCCACCCACCTCCATCAGATCCAAATACTGTTTAGAAATAGTAAAAGAGTGTGTGTTTGATTTCTCTCCCAAGACATTTTTGAATGCTCTATTCCAACACCAGCATTTTTTAAAATGCAAGTAGGCTGACTTATTTCTAAAATCTACATTTAAATTTAGATTTCAAGTTTAAATTTGGACCCATGAAACCAACTCATTCAATTGAAACAATGATTACTGAATGCAGTGTACTCGGCATTGGCAGAAAATAGTGATGGCACAGAAAGAATCCTGCCTCCAAAGTATCTCAGACTACAGGGGAACAAAACTCACATGCACAGCATCACAAGATAGTCTATGCAAGGGGTCCCAATAGAATTAGGGGATCCATCAGTTAAAAAAATAAAAGACTTAGAGATTGGAAGAGACTTGCAAAACAGTGTCTCAACTTACCCATTGTCTTCCCAGGGTAGGATTTCCCAGCTACTCAAACAGCATGCACTTTCTCTTCACAGTAAGATCAGCCAAGAGTTCTTTTTTCTGTGCATGTGGAATCGTGGGGCTCTTCCATAATGACACCTTCATGTCCATCCTGAGACTAGGTCTAGGATGAAGCAAGTTAGACACTGGCCTTAGTTCAAAACATGCAAAGTATTCAGGGCACCTGGGTGGCTCAGTCGGTTAAGAATCAGACTTCAGCGCAGATCATGATCTCAGGACTCGTGGGTCCAAGCCCGGCATCGGGCTCTGTGCTGACAGCTCAGAGCCTGGAGCCTGTTTCGGATTGTGTGCGTGTGTCTCTCTCTCTGCCCCTCCACTACTGGTGCTCTGTCTCTCTCTGTCTCAAAAATGAATAAACTATAAAAAAAAATTTTTTTTAAAAAGATGTAAGGTATTCAAAGTCAGCAATCAAAACAAATGTCTTATGTGAAATTTTTTCTTAGAAATTCAAAATTAAGACAGCAGCATTTATGACGAGCAGAAACTCAAAATTTTAGATAAAGGCAGGATTAGCAGTACTGACTTTTTTCTTTTTTCTAGAAGCCCCACTAGGGTTCTGCAGGGAATACCTTCATCCTCAACCTCCACGTGGTGGTCAGTGAGTGGTAGACCTAATTTTCAGAAAGCTGGGTTTTCTGATATTTAGAGCTCAAATCAATGACATTATAATTACTGGGTGACTGCCATTGGGGTGCTCTGACGCGCTCTGGCATAGCTGATCACCAGTTCTCTCACATCCATAGCTTCTCCGCATCCAGGAACGTGTCCAAGGTATAACGTGGTGGGCGCTGCAGGGCCACACGTGAAAACGTCACAGAAGTCAAGGACTGCCTTCAAACCTCCCCAGTTACCGCCGAGTTTGCGGTAACTTGGTAACAGAACAATGAGCTGCGGGCTAGGCTGGGTGGATAGAAGGTGCTGCTGGCCTCCTGGGTGCCCGGATGGCCTGGGGCCCTACGCATCGGTCCCGCGCCTTCAGACACTCCACAGGCTTAGTCAGAGTTCCGGAAACTGCCCTGGAGATCAGCCTCAGGGTAAGCGGCACCCTCTTCCCCAAGCCACGAGCCCTTTGGGTCCCTGCGCCAAAGCCCCAGTCAGCTGGAGGCCGCCGGAGGGGTCTGGCCAGAGGGGGTTGGGACAATGGCAGAACCCAGACCCTGCGTTGGGGCAACAGGTCCGTAATCTCCGGGGAAGGGTTTGGGGATGCCTCTGATCCACCCTAGTGGACTAACACGAACCCTTTCTGCTTATATAACATATATAACATACACATATAACATATATTGCATTTATAACAATGGCAGTCTAGGAATTAGGTGGAAAATCTATAATTTGGGAGTCTTGACTCTCCAACAAATATATGTAACCCAGAAATGCCATTCCCTCAAATGGCATTTCTTCTCTGATGGACGGTACAAGCAGAGTTGACGGCTGTTAAGATAAAGGCTTAAAGAATGCTTGAGTGGGGAAAAAATATCAGAATTGTTGGACATAGGAGCTAGCCAAGTATTGAAGAGTTCTTGGACTGGTCTGGAAAGGCTTGGGACTACCATGTAAATCAAGGCTAGGGGGTTCTGCAAGGAACTGAAGCTCCTGACATTAAGTCCTAACTAAGCTATGGTGCCTGTGAGTTGCATGTAGCTATAGGAGTCTGTCTACTATCAGAATATGTATGTCATCAAAGAGAATCTTTTCTTCTATAGATTTTGATACAGACTTCATTCTTCTGGGATTTAATAGTTCCACAATTATCAAACTTTTTTTTTTCTGTTTTATCTAGAAATTAAGTCATCAGGGCAGTGGAGGAAGCTTGATGCTCCCTGTGCCAGAACTGTCCACACCCCAATTCCCTGTTGGTTTGTTTATCCCCTGTTTTGTTAACCAGTTAACTGGAAATTTGTCCCCCCTCATCAGACAACTGACACTGTTGTCCAAATTCAACACTTCTTCTGAGTAATATCCTCTACTACCGTACATAATACTGCAGTTTCTAATTCTACTTTCTTGAGTGGGAGCAGGGTGGCTCAGTCTGCTAAGCATCCAACTCTTGGTTTGGGCTCAGGTCATGATCTCACAGTTTGTGAATTCAAGCTCCGCATCAGGCTCTCTGCTGTCAGCATAGAACCTGCTTCATATCCTCTACCCACCCCACTCTCTGCTCCTCCCTTGCTCTCCCTCCCTCTCTCTCTCAAAAAAATAAACATGAAAAAAATAACAAATTCTACCTTCTTGAAATTTGTTCTCTCCACTCCCACTGTGCTCGTTTCTCCTCCTAACTTTGTAAGCATCCCCACAAACCCCTTTCCTTCTGCTCTCCCAGCTGCATTCCCTCCTCTCTCTAAATGCAGACACCTGCCAACGATCGAGCCTGGGTTCCCACTCCCTCCTCTGTAGGGACCTTACTCGCCAGGCTGTGCATACCCACCCTGCCATCTCTGGTGAGATCCACACTTCTACCTGCAGCTTTCTGGTGGACGCCTGGACCCGTGTGTCCCACCGGCCAGCATCACAGTTCTAGCATTTCCAGCTGAATTCGCTTGCCCTTCCCAGTCAGCTCCTCCTCCTCACGCCCTCACATGATCATCACCACCTGACTTCGCTCGCCCTTATTCCCCAGTTCTGTCCATTCTCTCCGCGCACCCTCTGTCCTGTCTGCTCGTGCTCATCCCCGCTTGCCACCCTCCCGGGGCCTCGCCCTGATTTGCCAGAACAGCCTTGCCTCCCGTCCAAATTACGGAAAATTAACGGTACATCTACTTTTACGGTCATCTTCCTGAGGCCTCGCTTTGTCACAAGTTTTCTCCAGTTTAAACATCCTGTAACTCCCATTGCTCCAGAATGGAGTCCAGTGCTGAATTAATTACTCCAGAGTTCTCAAGTCCCCTATTTTAGAGTACCAACCCGGCCAAGGCACCAAAATAGATGGAGGAAAAATGTCTTTCAAATAACTTGATATTGGATAGTGTTTAAAGGCATTGGTGTAGTTATGATGGGAAAAAAAACAGAACGTTGTTGGACTCTCTTGCACTGACTTTACCATGCTGTTAAAATATGTATTTCATATATATCTTATAAAATGAAATTAATGTTAAATCACAGATTACATCAAATATGTGATTTTAAGTTTGAGTTCTTCAGACCTATAAAAATGTTGCTTGCACAATGAATAAGTGCACCCTTCTGAGCACAAATAATATGACCCCAGTCCACCTTTCTTAGTATATTTCTCACAATTGCCTTCCACAGGCCTTTCACTGCATTCAAAGAGGGCAAGCCATTCATGTGGCATACTTTCTTCCCTTGCTTCTTCTCCACGGTGTATTTGCTCCCTTTTGATTAGAAGTACGTTCATCAATATTCTGTTTTTAATTTCTCCTCACCCTTTCAGGTCCAACCTGTCACTCGTGCACTGAAATGTTCATGGAGTTCCTAGGCTGACAGTAACGTCTTCTCTCTCTGTATTCCCCACAGCCTATTCTCATTGGCCCCTCTCCCTAAACCTTTTACAGCACTGTGTGTCCCGTACTCTCCTAGTAAACGGTTTGCTCACAGACAGCAGACGTTACCTGAGTCATCACTACATGTATTAGCTAGTCACAGGCTAAACTAGCCACCACGTTAACTAAGCACTCAGGGGTTTGTGGTTTGGCAAATGATCTGTGTAGACAAACTATTTTAAAAATGGTTCATCTTAGAGAATGCTCTTTTCTGCAGCTGCTATGGAAATGGTACAGCACTTACTCAAAAAATTAAACATAGTATAACCATATGATCCAGCAATCCCACTTCTGAGTATATTATACTCAAAGGAAGTGAAAACTGAGACTCAAATTGATGTTTGTACACCCATGTTCATAGCAGCACTATTGGCAAAAACCAAAAGACGGATGCAACCCAAGTGTTGGTAGACTGAAGAAGGAAGGAAATTCTGACACACACGACAACATGGATGGACCCTGGAGTCATGCTAAGTGACATAAACCAGTCACAAAAGGACAGACATTTTCCAAATCCAGTTAGATGAGATACTTGGAATGGTCAAATCCATAGAAAGAGAGACCTGATGGTGGTTGCCACAGGGCTGGAGGAAGGGGGAAAGTGGGCAGTTAGTGTTTCACGGGTACAGAGTTTCATTTGGGGAAGATGAAAAACTTCTGGAAATGGATGGTGGCCATGGCTGCGCTCCCATGTAGATGCATTTAATGCCACAGCACTGTACCATTAAAATAGCAAATTCCATGTTATATATATATATATATTACCACAATAGAAACATAGTTCGGAGAGTGAATGCTTGTTGTGCTTCTTTAGATGAAAGGGATATGCTGCTTGTGAAGTTGTGTGTTGATTGGGACCTGGAACTGCTCCACCACGGATGCACTGAAACTTGAAACTTCTTGGCACGTTTTCGTGCTCTTTGGCACTTTGACATTAATACTTGTTACTAGATTCATACGAAATTTTTGGTTGGAAAGAAACATACCATGATAAAAAGCTATGTAAATAAATAATTAATGACACCAGAGATTTACGTATTATGCTGATTGTTTCAATTTCCCCTTTCATCTCTTCATTTTCAAAATTTGACTCAAATCCTTAAATATTCATTATGTGGCTAAAATGTTCAAAACTTCTGTCAACTTCCAATTGCTGAATTAATATGTACTTATTAAAATATGCAAAAATTATTTTTAAATGTACTGCTTAGAAAATGAAAGTCCCCCATGATCTCAAGTGATAACTTTTGTTAACAACTTGGAGTATGTGCATTTGTGTGTATAAAGGTCATTGGTAACAAAAATGATGTTACACGTATTACACTGCCAATGGCTTTTTACTTTTGGATATCTATATATGTTTAGATATCTGTCTCTGTGTATTTGTAAGCTACTACACTGTATTCTACTGTGAAGTTACATGAAAATTTAACCTATATTCCAATAAAGGGGGCATATCTCACAAATATAGAAAATGTACGCTGAGATGAACAATGAACTTCACATTGTGTGTGTGTATGTGTGTGTGTGTGTGTGTGCACGCACACACGCAGACTAGTTTATTTTTGAGTGCTAGGTGTAGAATGGTGGGATTGAGTTAAAAGCCCATTTAAAACTTTCATAGAGAGCTCCAAATTGTTAATTCTACTTTGGCTCGATTTTATCATCCCAAACACTTTGACACAGTTGCAATTGGCTGTTTATAGTAGAAGCTGATAGTTCAAATGTTTAAGTTAAAATATCCAGATCCAGATGCCTAAGTCTTATCCAAGGGGTTTTTCCAAGCCCCCAGTTCAGCTTGCTCTTTATAGAGTCACAAAATGCCCTGATGGAAATACCTCCACCTGAGCCAATGAGCTCTCAAAGCCCCAAGATCCAACTTGTGTGACAAGAAAACAGAGGAAGTTTGGAATATAAATAAATAGCAACTCTCAATCCCTGATATATCTATCTTCCACTCTTCTTTTGATATTTGTTCATTACATTAAGTCTAGCTCTTCTTAATGTCCTCTACTAAATAACAAAGCTATTGTCAAAATTTCATATATCACTTACTGACAACACAACTTCACCATCCACGACAAATCCCAGCTGAAATTTGGTGATTGTTTTGATTCTGATAATTACAATGTTTGTAAGATTCCAGTAGTTCAACAGTTATACTCTCCACTTTTGTTGTGTCTTGTTAGCTTTATTCCTTCATGGCAAATTATAGATGGGCTATAATTTTTCCATATCATCTTAGGCCATGTGGCTTGTAAATGTTATTTTGTAATTTAGCAAAGGCTCTTAAGAAGAAAAAGCGAAGCACTTAAATTGCTGTTGTTGGATTTGTATTTTCAAAACAAAGCCTATGGGAATAAAAATTACTTCTTTCCCAACAAAAATTCCCACGGTGCAAGTATGTTAGTAACTCGTGAAAAATGAAAACACTGTTTCTTTGCAAAGAAAGGGAAATGATATCTATTCACTTATTCATTGGTCTGGTGTTTATTACAGTGTGCAACACCTGTACAATAACATATATTGTATCCTACTCCACCTGCAATCGTGATACCAAGGATCTTCTGTGAATATGAAAAACCTACCAAATATGAATTCTTCATGTTTGAAAGAACATTTAAAAACATTTTAAAAATTGTTTTTGGGGGCACCTGGGTGGCTCAGTTGGTTTAGCGTCCAATTTAGGCTCAAACCATGATCTCACAATTCATGGGTTCGAGCCCTACATCAGGCTCTGTGCTAATAGCTTGGAGCCTAGAGCCTGCTTCAGATTCTCTGTTTCCCTCTCTCCCAGTCTCTTCCCTGATCACACTCTTATCTTTCTCTCTCTCTCTCTCTCAAAAAAAAAGTAAAACACTAAAAAAGACTTGCTTTTGGTTCAGATGTACACATACACACTTTTTTCTTTTTGATTAAAAATTATTTACACATCTGTGCCCAGGATTAAGGATAATGAAATTCAACCACAAAAATGATTAAATAATATATAATTGTAGTGTTGGAATTTATTAGTTTAGAGTGGCTGCCTCCATATTCACCTTTCTTTTGATCTTCTTGTAGACATTATTGTTATTGACTGCAAATGTCTTCGTATTTTTGCTCAGTGGAATGTGGCTTGACAGATTAATTATATGTTATCAGGCAGTTGAAGATCAGCTAAAGATATGTGGCCACAAGAGGGATGCTGATGTCTTTGAGCTGTTCCTTTCTCAAAAGTAAGTGTCCTTTATATAAGAACTAGAAGAGCATCATATTCTAATGTTTCACAGATTCAAATGTTCTTTTCCATTGTTTTCCCCCAGGACTGGCTAGGCAAGTACCACCCTCTAATTACTTTGCCATTCACTGGTGTCCACAGTCTCTATTAGAAAGGCAAAATTAAAATGGATAAAAACAAAGATTATGAAGCCAAGCTGAGTATGAATCCCAGTTCTGTCTCTTCCAGCTGGGTAACCTTGTGCATGTCATAAAACTTGCTAATTTTAGGGTTGTCAGGTTTAGCGAATAAAAATATAGCAAGTTCAGTTATATGTGAGTTTCAGAAAAACAAATGAATATAATTTTTCTTTAGTATTAAATATGTCTTAAGTCATGCAGAGAAATACAGATATCATATGTTTTCACTTATAGGTGGATCAGAAGAAACCTAACAGAGGACGATGGCAGAGGAGAAGGGGAAAAATAGTTGGGGAGAGGGAGGGAGACAAATCATGAGAGACTCTTGAACACTGAGAACAAACTGAGGGCTGATGGAGGTGGGGGAGAGGGGAAGGGGGGTGATGGACATGGAGGAGGGCACTTGTTGGGATGAGCACTGGGTGTTATATGGAAACCAACTTGACAATAATCTATGAAAGAAAAAAATAAAAAATAAAGGTAAATAGATGCTAAATAAATAAATAATAAATATATAAGTCTTATACTTCCTGGGGTTTCTCTGAAATTCAGGTGTAAATGGGACTTGTATTTTATCTAGAATTTTATCTAGCATGGCTCCTGCCTGAGTATAATGATGCTATCTGCTTCGCAGGGTTGTTGGGTGCAGACTAGGTGTGTTAGTAGAAAGTAGAGTGTCTGGTTCATGGTAAGCACTCAATGAGCATTAATACAGTTAATATTATTACTATCATTAGACAATAATGGCTCACCATATACCTCTTTACTATAATAATAACCCTATTATACTATACCCCTAGCCAACAACCCCTATACTAATTTTACTGGTAAGTAGGAAAACCTCTTCCTTATGTAACAACCCCCTTTCATGCCTCTCCAACTGCCCAAGATGTGAGACAACAAAGTGGGCTCTTCTACAGAGGAGTCATACTGCCTGAGATAGAACCCCATGTGTAGGAGGAAGAGGAAGTTATGGGTTGTACTGGACTCTGACAGCACAGTTTTTAGTGGCTGACAAGTGACATCCATGAAGTTATATACAGGAATGATCCTATTCCTACTCTTCTTTCCCCTTTGCATGCTTTTCAATCTCTGTGAATTCTATGTACTATTGTAAAATAGGCTTCACATATTTCAACTCATGTAATCTTTGGAACTCAGCTACTTTTTAAAGAAAATAGCCCCCTCTATCAGTGAAGTCAATCACTTTATCTCTGGTGATTTGTGGAAATCATTTATTAATAAACATAATTATTTTGTGATGTATATTTTTTTTAGATTATAAGTGCAGAGAAAAATATTTATCTCGGTAATGGTTCTGAATCTCTTGGTAGTAAGGAAAAAAATAGCTGGCCAAGTTAAGATTTTTAAAGATACATATTTTAGAATGGAACAGAAATGGCAGATAATTCTGACATACTTAAAGTCATGCTTTGAATCTTTCTACAGATGAATTAGCTTTATAATAACAATACATATTTTATGTGATCATAGCATCTCAAAGTCTTTCATGATTTTAACATACGTATAGCATAAGGGTAAGTATATAATAAGAAAAGCTTTAAAACACTAGAAAAAATAGAAATACTGATCCTCTGACAGTGAGTAATTACTGGTATTCTCAACCAAAGGACAATACATTTTATATCCTAAAAATACTAAGCTATCATTTAATCCATCTGGGTACACAAAACACATATATTTCTCAGTCCAGACACCAATAAACTGGGTAAATTATGTTATTTGTTTGAGTCTCTGTTGCCCAACAGGAAAAAAAAACAAACAAAAAAAGACCCAAAAACTTATCAATATCTCCTTGAGTACTCATGGAGAATGCATACTGTGACAACAGAGCTAACATGTTATTGTCAGAATAAGTCATTGCCATTATTATTAGTAGGATTCCTTTTTTTTGTCTTCCATTGGCATCACTGTGAAATAAAGGGCAAAAGCACTTTATTGATTTCTAACAAGTTTATGTGCAGAACTAACCTTTCTGACATGAGTTAAAATCCTTTTAAAAGGGAATCAACTTTATTACCTTATGTAAATGCTGGAAATTCAGCCTCAACATCACTAGTACAAGAAAATTAATGACATTAATTTGACATAATTGATATTTCAAAGTATTAATGAATTAAAATAACTTTTCTGGGAAATCCTTGGGGAAATCCTCTATGTGGGGCTTGGATTTCTCTGCTACCACATAATGATTGTTTTATTTCTCATGGGAACGGATGAAGCTAATGTATTATCATTATTGCTCAATGCAATAATTCAGGTGTACCAGGATCCAAATACTTCTTCCCAGAAATAACCTACATATCTATAGTGGAGGAGAAAGCATTATGTGTGTAAGTCTGCTATTAGGAGTTGCTTTTGAGGAGTCTGGAATATTTTGTTGTGCCAGAGAAGTGTTCAAAGACCAAGAGTGCATGTCTAAACGACACATACTCTGCTTGAAGTCTTTTGTTTGGGATACTTTGAGAATTAAAAAAAAAAAAACGGAAAAGGATTAACAAAAAACTCTTCAAATACAAGTAGGGTGGGGAAGAGAATGACTGAAAGAAAGAAAGGGGAGGGGTGGATGTTCTTTCCAAGTTTTTACCTAAATTCCACTTAGTTAACATGCAGTGTAATATTAGTTTCAGGTGTAGAATTTAGTGATTCATCACTTACATATAACACCTGGTGCTCCTCACACGTGCCCTCCTTAATACTCCTCACCTATTTAAGAGAATATCGGCTAATATGTGTAAAAAGAACGAGAGCAATAGAAGAAGCAGCATTTTATAATCCCAAATCTTCTGATTCAGAAAGGATCATCAACTGAAGCTAAAGCCATTGAATAAGTTATTGGGGGACGAGATGTACGCACAGTCGTTAGACTTTTGCCCCACACATTACTGCACAAGGACAACGTTCCTATACTTTTACAAGGGAGAGACTTGGGAGACGCAGCCTGAATCCCATGACTGAACTTCCTTCACCCAGAGTGGGACAAAGTGGCATTACTTGCTTCCTAATGTGATGCAGCAATCATTACCTTCGTAACTGACAAATTGCCCTCCTTCAATTTAATCATGTGGAAGCCATCGGACAAATCAGGAATGTGAGACATTCTCTCAGACAGCTGTCCTGAACTCTTCACAAAGTCAGTGTGAAGGTAATAAAAGGAGAGGGAGTGACTATTGTAAATTTAACAAAACTAAGGTATTATACCAGCTGAAAATGTGGTGCATGAATATTGATGGGATTCTGGATTGAAACAAAGACATACAGGTGCAACAGGGACAATGTGAATATGAAAAGAAGGGTAAATGATATTACTGAATTCAATTTAATTTTTAGATGTGATAATGATATTGTGGCTCTGCAGGAAAATGTCCCTATTTGAGGCATATGCATGCTGAACTATATCAGAGTGAGAGCTCTACACAGATGGCCAACAGACACATGAAACGATGCTCAGCATCCCTCCTCATCAGGGAAATACAAATCAAAACCACACTGAGATACCACCTCACGCCAGTCAGAGAGGCTAAAATGAGCAAATCAGAGAACTCTAGATGCTGGTGAGGATGTGGAGAAACGGGCACCCTGCTACACTGTTGGTGGGAACGTAAACTGGTACAGCCCCTCTGGAAAACAGTGTGGAGATTCCTCAGGAAACTAACAATAGAACTCCCCTATGGCCCAGCAATAGCACTGCTAGGAATTTACCCAAGGGATACAGAAATGCTGAGGCATAGGAGCACATGGACCCCAATGTTCATAGCAGCACTCTCCACAATAGCTAAAACATGGAAAGAGCCTAAGTGTCCATCAACAGATGAATGGATCAAGAAGATGTGGTTTATCTATACCATGGAATACTACATGGCAATGAGAAACAATGAA